CATGTTTTCAACAGGAGTTATGTATCAAATGGACATAAGTGAGCGACCATATTTTACTTTTCTTACTCCTTAACGATCACTGCATCCCAGTGTCTTTCTGAACGTTTAAGCTCAATAATTTTTTTCTAACTTTACACTGATTTTAATTATCAAAGTATTCATCTCGGCGGAGGTTCGGTAAATGACCCATATATATTTTGATTTTATCATATTCACCCCAACCATCCTACGGGACGTGTCAAGCACTTGCTTTTATCCCTTGATAAATCATTGTTCATTGTTCAAACTCTGGACGGTAGTGATTCCCTCTAACCCACGTACCCTACACATGCGTACACGTTGCTATGTCTACTATGAATTCGACATGCTATTACCTGACAACGCTTGGCTAAGGAAGCAGCGGCACGACAGTGCACGCATGTCACAGTCGCCTGGCTCAACTTTGTTCATCGGAAACAGTAACCTGTTAGCGTACCGGAAGAAGTTGATATCTGGTTAGCTCAAGTTTTTCCTGTATGGCATAAAATGACTTGGAAATGGTATAGAGCGCACGCGGCCTTCGTTACAAGGTCAGGGCATTCAATGTCGCAAACGCGGGACCATGGGGCAGCCACTAGCAAAGACGGGAGATTTCGTGGCACTCCCTTCAGAGCGGACGATCTTTGCTGACTATGTGTGTCGAACGAGGCTGACGACCGCCCGAAGCGTGGTCGATGTGTACGGCACGCCACGCTTCCGCAGATACGTCTGGGTTTTGGAGTCATTTGGTACCCCACATATAGGCGTCACTGCAATAGCAAGTGAAATGAGAGACAGTAGAGCCTGGTCCGAATGCAGGTACGTATTCCAAAATGACTGACGGTCTTGAACTGAGGTGCACTATGTGTGGCCTACAGCAACAGGGTCAATTAGGGTTAACATCATCGAGGAGTTCGGTGACCACATGTGACACGATGTGATCGTTAGTGCTTGAAAGCAGTGCTGTCAATATGCGCATTTAAGCCAGCATATAGTTGTAGGAATCGATTGCCACTCTCTGTTCGGTGTACATGCACCCCAAGACAGCCTTCCAGGTGTTGTTCATAGTCCGAAATGCTAGCCACTAAGACATCCATGTAACCAGCGACAATCACAGTCTTAGTAGTTGCTGATGACGATAGAAGGGATCCTTCACATCTTCCGAATTGCAGTCATTTGGGGCATAAAAGGAAGTATTAAAAATGCACGCTTTCCCCAGACGATTGTTATTAACCACAATAGGGTTTCGGAATCAAACAGCAAACATCCGGCTTTTCACTTGCATCCAGTCGAGCAGATGGCATTAGGCATGTTTGCTGAGGGTGAAACGGACAGCATAATAACCTTGAGCTATATACTTCGTATCATCAGAGGCGATTAGAGTGTAATCGTTGTCAGCAGATTCGGAACCAGGAAGTGGAAGATTCGTCACGATGCGGTCAGGTTATATATGTTCTGGAGACAGCTCGCATCAATACCGAGAGTGCGTATGGTCAGAGTTAGTGCCGCTGTTGGCCGATCTGAAAAAGTGAGTGGACATCAAATGAAACATTGCGAAAAGCGAATCTTAGTTTGATAGCTTCAGTTACGAGGTCAGTGACAGTCCCTTGAGCAATAAACGGGGAAGTGCTTGGTACGGGTAGAGGAGAATAAGTGTTGGCGACCGGGTCGAGAGGGGAGGCTATGCTCTCCTGCTGCCCATTCCGGAAAAGGGTTGATGGTTGAGAAGTCCTACCCCTCCCTTTAACAAAACAGTCTGACCTTCAACGCGGTCACGTAGAAGGAGGTTCACTTGGGTGGCTGCAACCAGAACCTTTGGCTCAACAGGTTAACCCACAATGCAGTGGGGAGATAGTCCAACTAGAGAGCGTGATGGCAGTGTCTCATCGGGGTCTGCTTGAGGCTTGTCAGATACAGCCTTTTAGGATCTAGGGCAATTCATGTGCGACCACAGGCAACCGCATCAAAATAAAGCCAGTCGAGTTGCGTTGGGATTTGTTACTCCGCTTTGTTTCTGTTGTAATTTGTCGAATCAGCATGAGACTTGTCTAGGCTTACGAAATCAGCTTCCACTTTCGGAACATTCTACGATTGATTGATGCTAACAAAGTTTGTTTCTCAAAAAGTTCACAATTCCTTTGACAGCTGCGCATCTGAAGGATTCATTTCTCGTAGGTACGGCGACTACCCGTGTGTAAGATACCCTGCATCTATAGATTCGAAACGAAGACCCTACAGTTCTCTATCGTCGATCGTGACCTACGTCACTGCTTCGGGATGACCGGTTGTTCTGAGAAAACGGAAATGACTTTACAAGCTGGGAACCACAACGTAGATCAAACAATCCAAGCAAGGCAACCAAAACTGAAGCATGATCTCACTGATCTGGAGCAGACTCCACGTCGGGTTTCCAAGTGCGTCATTGAAACACGTAATTTTCCATATGCAAATAGGCGGAAACACGGGTATTGCTGATTAGCTGACAATCTGCTAATGATTATATTGTTCTGAGTTAACCGAATCATGTGCGCCGCTAGTTACTGCAGGTAAACAATAGCACCTAACTGAGATTATTCCTTGAAACTGGCAGCATAGTTTAACCCCCCACCCCCCCAAAGTGTTGCGGTATTCTTCTTCCTGTTTGTGTGTGTCGCGTCTGTTGAAACACCACATTCGGTCTGTTTCGCAACAATACATATCATGTGTGAGAAAGATTGGAGGAAGGACTCAGGCGCTTACACGTCTTAGAAACCTCAATGGGAACCGTGACGCAACGATATGAAATATTCCCCAGGAGCATGCTCAGTCGAACAACTGTATAACAAAGGCAATAGACGAATGAAACCTCGGTGAAGATGTCAATATGCACAGCGCGCGGACTCATGCTGATTCGCATCGCAACATACCTCGAACGCGGACTTTTCAACATTGCGCTCAGTGAGCATTCGCTGGCACCCCGAAACACACCGCGGTCCACATGCTCTCCACGTCTCTCCGGTGTCACTATCCCAACTTCCATGCCATCCGATCATCGACAACGGTATTTGTGAGTGATTTCATGTCATTATTCCCAAGGGCCAATTCATTCGCACTCATTCACGTGGGTGCTTCACATTATACGAACAACTCAGCGATGAAATGGGTGGACACACCGCTCAATCACATTTCACGTATAATTGGAAATGCTTGAAAGGGTAAGGGCCAACTACCATTGTCACTTGTGACTGCAAAGCCCAGATGGGACCACGTGAATTTTGGGTGTATTTATTAATCTCACTTGCTCAAAGCAGGTTTTATTTCTCTGTTGATGGTACAACAGGAATATATATTGAATCATTCCATAACCGTCACCCGACCACACATAAATGTAAATCTATGTGTGCTTGTCTGTTGGTAAATTTTAACAGTGCAATTATATACATCAATGGAGTGTAAAATGCTATTTTTCTCTACCACTAGATCCGTATGCAGTTGATTACATCTGCTGATAAGCAGAAAGTATCCATTTTCGATAACAAGTTAGAGACACCTCGGTGCTTCCTATTTATGAAGTTATTTCCCATATTTGTGTTTGGTGCGGTATTGAACTATCTACTGAACTATCTACTGCACGTCAATTTAGATCGCGTGAGTAGCAGTTTTCCTAAAATGTAAAATATACTGACAATCTTTTAGTTTGGTCCCTGACGAGGCGTTTAGACCGATGTCATTTGACTTCCAGAGAACATTCACTTCCACGAATTCTGCCCTAATTTTCAACCGGCTCAGGATACTTCAAGTAGTTTCTTTTGTTAGACTTTGGTCATCATTACCCTCATGATCCTTAGACATTTAAAAATACTTGAAAGCAGTTTAAGGTTTCTGAGTCTGGCCCTGGAAATATAAATACTTTTTAAATAATAATCGGGGACATTCTGGAATATACAGCAAAAGCTTACTAGTTGGCAGTCCAGTCATTTGTGGTGCTTTTTAACCATATAAATGGGTAACGCTTCGCTAAACAATGTTTAGTCTTCACTTGCTAAAGCCGTGGAATCAAGACTGGGATGCATGGTAGGGAGAACCCGAATACTAGTTCGCATTACAACAGTAACGCGTTTTGAATCCAGAGATGGAAGATAGGTTTACAGATACATTTCCATATTTTTATCGGTCCGGTTACAATGGGTGATTACAAATTCGTGAAGGAGAAATGCAACAACAAGTGTTCTTAGCTCGATGGTTACTTTTTACATTTATAATACGGAGCTTCCTTGGATACGCCTAACTACTTCTGTAAAGCGGTATAGTTAAAATTATAAGTGAAATTTCAACTAATAACCCGTGGTCAATTGCAAGTTTTGGGTACATTGGAAAGCGGCAAGATTTACAATGACTGAACAATTAGCAACAAACACTTTCCTAACTAACGTACAACTGCCTCCAGTGAACTGGTACGTGTACATGATTACGCTATTTCCTTGGGACTGCCTACTGCTTACTTTTATGTGGATTCTACACATCTCAGTGGTATGATCACGTGTGTACTGGATTTCACCTGCTAAACATCTGAAACAACAACACACGTACCCGGATCACCTTGACGATTTGCAGTTATTCATCCCAGTGCCGCATAATGCTAATGCGTCACTATTTTCAGCTAGGAGGCAGAATATCATGCGTTTACTTTAGATACATATTAAGAAGAGTGCTTTATGTGGTTGATAGTCGTAGCACAGGTATTAATTTACTATATAATCACCAAAAAATATTTAAGTGAGTCAGTATGTAGAAATCTTCAACCTTCTTGCAAGAAACGTCAGCTTGATAACAGGGTAAAGATGTCCTCTACAGAAAATGCGGCTTATGATCTGGGATCATACTACGCAATAATGCATCCAAGCGTAAGTTGTCTAATCAGTAACCATAGCAAAAACGTTTCAATGGAACTAATAAACATATTTCAGTAATGTAGCACTTTGATTAACATGTCCAATGCTTACACGACAGAGTTCGCCGAGTGCTAACTGAACATTTTCTCGCTGGCGGTCTGTGGGCACTCTTAACGGTCGTTTGGTAAAATCTGCCTTGGCTGCATCCTCAACTATTGTATCCTGAAGTCTTCGGATTACCTCCACCAGAAGCTTGAGTCTTGTAAGCCGTTGCATTGGCAGCGCTAGGTAGGAATTAATGGAATGCTTTCCACTGATTGGGTTTGAGTGCAGTGCATCCAAGGCGTCTCGGAAGCTTTCACGCTGACTGAGAAATGCAATGGAAACTAAGGTGAGCATTTGCCAAATTTGGCTGTCATGGTCGAATCAAGCTTTCTTATCTTGCAGATTGATGCAAATTACAAGACAGCCACTTATACATAAGAAATGAAACTAACGCAAATGCGGAAAAAGCAAGTTGAATCTCGTAGTAGCTATTTGTGGGATAAGCCATTTGCACACTTGAAGAACATTAACTTTTAACCATTTAATTTATCTTTTAATTGTTAAGTAGAACACACTTTTTTCCGTACCCCGTTCCAGGTGGATTTTCCTAATATTGAACCTAGATAACAGCTTATATGCTTTTAAATGCTCAAGACCGGAACCACGTGCTGCTTGAGACTACTACCGAGTAGAGCGTGATAAGTGATTGACAGCTGTGAAAACACAGTTACGGACTTTGCGTACACTGAAGAGATATTGTGCCTAAAATTGGCGATACCAAATAGATGTACGGCAATCGTACGTTTATTAAGAACTATTCCGCAAGCCCCTATTTAAATGTGGTGATGGAAAGGTTTAGCGAAATCCTTGCCCCGGTAACTAGCACGATGAATGAAATTCATTAAACAGTCGTGACCACAAACTGGTTCTGCTTTTTTAATGATAGACTTTCAGTTTGATAATACAGTGGATCATATATATTCCTGAGTTTCCTTTGACCTCCGATGGCTTCATGATAACTACTTACGAATACAAAAATAAGCACTGTTTTCGTCAAACATGCTGTTACATTCAACTTAAACAAATTACACTGACGTTTAAACTCCGTGGTTAACATTCCACCACACCTTCCAGAAATAATTTACACTTTTTCGGTAAGGGGTGCTCATTTTTAATATCTGATAAAACATCTAACTTAATGTGAAGGCTGAAGATCACCTGGTTGATAGATAACTTCTCATTGTTTTATCTTCAGTCTTGATCCCTATATTTACTTATGTATTGGTATTGCGTTTGATCTGACAGGCAAGAGTATCCAACATGTATCGCTGTCTGATTGCAAGCGCTTCACGTACCATAACGTATGAAATATTAGAGGTAGTGTGGTGAATACAATGGAGTCGAAACAGTTATGCACTAAAGGATCCGATTTGGCTTATATGTATTTGTGTTATTCTCGTAACACATTCGCAGGCACTAACACTACGATTACTTAAAAAATGCTCTGCGATGCTATCCGATTTACCCAAGACTTACTCTGGAAGATTACACATATAACAAAGGACTTTAGAATATGCTGTGGAGATGAAACCGATACTTAGTTCAGGTGTATAATAAAAAATATCAAATAGCAAATATAGTCATGGCGTCACATAAATACATCCTTTAACTATGCAAAGTTGTTGCCCCGGTCAGTGAATTTGAAATGTTTATGCGGCTGCTGATGGTAACGACGCCATCTCCAGTTATAATGTAGGTGGCAGTCGAAGTGTCCACTGAGCCTGTCAATTCTGTTGTAGACGTTTCGTCATCAATCAAGATGACATCATCAATGTGTTGTTGATAACCGTATCAGTGGTGACATCACCTCGATTGGTGACGAAACGTGCGCGCAGCATTACCAGGCTGAACGAGCAGTTCAACTGTCAGCAGAACAACCTGAGCTATGAACTTTCGTTTCTATTTAAAACTTACAAGCTACACAATTAAGGAAAAGTTAGTGCAACTGTCCCAGCAGTATCGGGAATCCAAGTCCAAAAATTCTGGAATATTAAAGGAAATACGCTTAGTTGCATTCAACCACTTATCGTCAAATCCACAACTGGTATTTTCCCAGCTAGATAAAATATCCGATTAGGACTGATGAAACATTTCCGGACTTTGGAATATTTTAATTAAAAAAGGACGGATATCTGCAAGATACCTTCCAGGAATATACAACCATGAAAGGGGAAACGTTGGTCATCAACATTCTGGAGGAAATGCGTAAGACGAGACAATTAGATCTTTTACTATTCACATGCCAAGTTCCATTTGGTTTATATCCCCCGCAAATATGCGAACTTCCAGTGTAGTAAGCAAACAGTCTGATGCGAATAATAGTTGACATGTTTTCCTCTACTTGTTATTCCGCGGACACACAAATTACAAAATAATTAAGTCGGTACCTAAAGGAAGTTATAATAGCAAGTTGACAGGCACGTTTGATTTTAAACTATAATGATAGAGTGTGGTTATTCGTTGAGAAGTATAATTATTCACGAATGTACCCGTACCAAAATCTTTGAAATTCATTTGTGATTTCTCAGTGTTAGAAACTGGAACTTTGGTATACGGTGCAAAGTCGAAGAAAAGTAATCCAAAACTGAAACATTAAGAGTAGATCTTATTTGATGGGTTTAATATGGACATAAATGGCGGATTGTAATAGACTGCATTCTAGGCAGGTTCCTGACTGCCATCTTAATCTCAAAATTTGAGGATTGGTGCCTTTACAAAATTGTTACCCTACTTGATCCGTACTTTTGATATATGGATGGCAATTTCGTTGTCGGTGACATTTTCGTCGATGGCACCAGCTTAATATACAAATTCAACTGTATACATCCATCACTAAAATTTGCCAGCGGAAGGAGAAATAATAATAACTTGACGTGCATGTGTCCAGATGTGAGAATTGATAAAATTATTAGTGTCTCATATAAAATAGCGTGAGTAGGTATGAACACCTAATCTATTCTTATTGTGCGGTGGAGATAAATACAACTCGAGTCCGATGTCCTTTATTTAGTGCCAGTTCAATCGGAGGGCTTGACACGATGGAGCTTGAGACCTTCATCCATTGCACACTGAATGGATGGAAAACAGCAGGTTTTCAGGTTTTCTAAGTAAACTTCCATGATAGCAGGGCTATCATGTTCTGTGAGAGTAACGATTGTCTAAGATGAATATAATTCAAATCCTGTAAAGTATGCCTTTGACAAAGACTGCTTACCAACAGCCGTTCCACAGAAATGTTATTAATGTTTAGTGCTTTTGAATCAGCAAATAAATTGAATACTGTTATCGAACATTTAGGGCGCTTTATTTAGGTTCTTTTCGGTAATCTCAAGTTCTTCGTCTTGTCATAAGTAAATGGCGCTGCACGGAGAGTACGCGGTGTTCTACTGCGTAGTTCTTGCGCCAATACTGTCTTGAGGTGAGAAACCACCAGTATTGCTATCCAACTATAACACATGATAAAAATGAGTGCAGTCAATAAATAGAAGAAACTACACTAAAATAAGATTTGTTTTGTGTTAGTAAGATTTTTTATTTGGTTTCCTTAATCAGTTTTCCACATTAGCAATGTACCGCCTTCTTAACACCTTGATGGGCTGGCTGAGGTCAGTTTATTTTAATTATATTATCAACTATTATATTTATCAACTATCTCCTGTAATCATAAGCGTCAAACCCAACATTCCGTAATGGGTTTTGATTATCTATAACGAGACGCGGTTCTTAACTTGGAGACTTTAAATACATCACAGTCAACTGTTAATCTTGCAAGTCCACGACTGTCACCCATGGCAAAGTGGCACTTGCTACTGGTATCAGGAAGTCGTGGTGGCGGAAACCAGCAGAGGTCCGCTGGAAGGCGCACCGCTGACGAGACACATAAGATAGAAATACCGGTGTCCGTTGCTTTTCCAGACTAACAAGAGCCTGTTTACTTTGAGTGCACCGTGATGAATTGTCTAAAGATCTGAAAGAATACTGTGAAGGAAACATCACAACGCGATTACCCCTGAAATTTTGCATCGTTTCTGCACGGTTTTTGAAAACAGTCACCATGCACAAGTTTGACCGTCAGAGAAGAAAGGCGATTTGGAAAAAATGGTGCTAGATTGGATTTCATTTAATTCTACATACCAGAAAACTATCTTTTAGAACACAGAATATTAACGACAGGGCTTCGGGGACCGATCACAAACGTTAAGGAAATTTATTGGTTGACATCTATAGATACCTGGTGATAATCCGCCACTGAGAAATTAAAATAATTAACTTTAGTTGGGCATACATAAGACTTAATTACCTGATTTGAAGACGAATTCCCGTCGTTTTATGTACACAAGCCATGTAGTGGAATTTTGCTTTGAATTGGAAATATGCAAAATCATTCGTATGTAGAACAGTGTTGCTGCGGCATTATTTTGCACGTCTTTGAAACAGGGAGCTCGCTTCAAACTACCCAACACTTGACTGTGGTAGAATGTGAAATAAGCACGGTTTAATTAGATATGTTTTGGAAAAGATGTGCACATTACTGGTGATAATTTGTCTCCTTCCATACTAATGTTATCCTATTAAAATAGGTAGATGAGTTAGTTTTGCGACAGTCGTACTTCACTGTTCCATCAAGGTTTAACTTTCTTCAACTAAGAAAAGTGGTTTTAAAAACAGTATAACAGTAAACATACAAAACTAAACCCTAGCAATCCAACAGGTGGCACATTTGGAACCACTAGTCAAAGGCGTGTGCTAATTGTACGCATATTCATTTTGCCATTATCATTTCCCAGTGAATCACAAGACATATTTAATAACTTATAAGCAGTTGTGTGCATCATTCACGCTGCATCAAGTGAAACTTTAGACACATGTATTTCGGCTATTTTATTAGGTCAGCTTCATTGAGGATAAGTATAATAGATTGCAGCAGATACCGCCTACCCCATTCTAAACCTCATGTGCATTCCTAAGATTCATTGTGTTTGAGAATTAATTTTTGTGCTGGAGTGCATTAGGTAGTCCTTTATCTGTACCGTTTTCGTAGTCAACCCATCGCGAAATTTGAGGTAAAATTTATTATCCCACTTACGGTTGGAGATGGACCCAAAGCCTCTTTTGTTCAGGTACCAAGGAGCTGACACGCCGGTTAATTGTCAAAGATTAAATATAGTTACGAAAACTTTACTCTTAGCTGTTAAAACATGTTACATACATTTAGTGTGGTTGAAAGCTTGAGCTTGGTACATTTTATTGGTTGCTAAATAGTTGGACGGAATATGGACAATTGCGACAGCTTACCATAATTTTCTTAAAGTCGCCATTTGGTAGGCTTGATTCCGCAGGTATGTAACGTAAGGTTCGAAGGTCACACCACCGGCATGCTTCACAATCAAGTCGCATACCTCGCTTAAAATGGGCATTTGGGAAATCCAGCGCTTCTCCAAGTCTTGTAGAAACCTAGCAATTAATATGTAAATTTAGAGAGATGATACAACAAACTATTCAGACTTTACCGGATTAGGTAAACAAATCATGTTGCCCTTTCACAAAAAGCACACACCACGAGCGGTTCAACAATTAGTTATCATCATCTGATAGATTCATCAAGATTTTAGCCTAGGCCACCACTCTTAAAATACAAATTCGCGAATGAAGATGTATTTCGAGGCGGTAAATGCCACATTGTGGGGGCACGTCATTGAGTTGATCATTGTGGGACGTAAGAAGTTAGCACGACACTGGATGATGCAAAAAAGTTATCTCATTGAGTGGATGTATGTACAGTCAAACATGTCTAAGGCGACTGCTCAAAGAACCGACAAAAAGTGGTCAACTCAGACATGTGATTATCATTGGCAGGTTCAAGCATAGGGAATTTACTCATAGGAGAATACCTTAGGGATATTTGGCTCTTCGCCACATACAGGTGGTCGTCAGAAACAGATGGTTGCAATGGCAGGTTAGACTGTACTCGCAATTTATCAAATCCTCAAAGCAAATATTAATTTGATTTGAAGCGCATGGAAATGTATAATAGTCCAATCATGCGCTAATCGATTGTCCTCACTGTGTGACATTTTATGCTATCCCAAATCGAATGTCTTACTAATTCGTCTGACATTTAAGAAGAAAACTGGAACGTGATTATAAGTTAACAATATGTAGTAAACATACTAAATAATTGGAAGCCCTTGAAGTCATTATTATTTGCACATTATTTGCCCGTTTATATTATTGAGACGAATGGATTATCTAGCAGCCTATCTGATAACATGAGTTTCCTGCGCTTTAGCCAATAAGCGTCTTTGATATTTTGTAATTTCATTTGAAATGAAACTGTACCACTATTAATGAGTCCCCAAACACTTGCACGTAATGTTGGAACTAAATATTTATATATTAAAAGCTTACCAAGTTTCGGATTTTTTTAAGATTAGTAGCATAGCATCTTCAATTTCTTGAGGACACTAACTCGATCAGCAGATATTTTCACTAAAACGCAGCGATATCCGTCAACAAGTTACGAAGTAGTATCGAAAGAAAAGGTTTAAAAGTATAATTTGCGAATCGCACTGAGAAAACCAGTGTTGAACTTCGTTGACCCAGTGAGATGGATAGCAGATACACTTGGGTAGCAGTATTATGTCAGTTGATTTGCGCGAGCTAGTGTCAAAGTTTTGCTAGGTACACATTAGAAGACTTGAAAACATCAAAAATTATTTTGGATCTATTTCCTATAAATGTCCTCAGAATACCATCTGAATTTATTGACTTTTTTGCTGAGTATCAGCATGCAAATCTATAAAAGGCAATCGTGATAAAGTTTAAATGTAGAGGTGGAACGTTTGGAATCTATTGAAACGACTTGTGTTTATGCAAATAGATGGATGGATAGTAGCAGTGGCCAAATACTTATGGCCAATTGTACATTTGTCCCACCCAATGATTGTGGATGACCAAAATAAATTTTGAAATCATATCTCGTGGTTTTCCTATATAACACATAATTCGGAAACTATTATAAGTAAGTCAGATCTCTGTTAATTTTCTACGCTCAAATTCATTCCATTGTGATTTAATGCTAAGGAACTTCCCCCTGCAAATATCTCCCGCTTGATTATACTGTTCCTCCGTTATTTCCCCGAAAACTGCTTCAAAAGAATTATGTACCTATTGTCCGTTCGTTAAAATTTACTTATGTCTCCTCTGATTAAATAAAGCAAACACTCAATGATTAATTTTGATAACAAGCATTTTGATGTATGCATCAAATTATATCATTTTCAGTTTATTTCAGAAGGTTTGCAAACTACTTTCGAGGTTTTGCAAAACAAATCGGAAGTTTTGCAAAACAAACCGGCCGTGTTGCGAAGCAAATTGGACGTTTCCCAATATTAATTTTACACATTATTCTTGTCAGAAAAGCACAAAATTTTTTAGCAAGAAATCAGGCGTATGGCGATTGGGCGATGTTTAGAGTACAATTTGGTTACGAGAATGCAACCGAACTGTGCAAGCAGTGAGCGATTTTGTGAGCCGCTCCCTTGATCAGTAGTGTCGCTTCGATCAAATTTTCAATCTGTCCCTATAGTGGCCTCCTCGTATTTTGTGTGCCATCCTCTTCATCATAATTGTTATGTTGATATCCCCACCAACTATCCAACGGGGCTTGTAAAGCAACGCTTCTTAACCCGTATAAATTCATTGTTCATTGTTCATTGGAGTTGCACATAAACCTTGTACTATGGACCCACCGGTAGGTAAATTCAAAAGCATTGACTCAGTAACTCGACATTCATTCGCCGAGAGCACGGTGTTCCAGCAACCTGTAAACAACTGCAATGTGACTCAATATTGGCATAAAATGGATATTTGGGAAAAGAATTGTTCCGATATTATGTGAAATTAAAGATTGATAGGATGGGATCACGTCTACTGCTCCTCTATGTGTACGAATGTGACGACCTGAAAGCCCAACTAGCTTTCGGTGCCATCATTTATGCGGCCTTTAAAAAATAGGTCAACTATTTCGCCTTTGTTTTCCGACAATATTTATTTGGACACATAGACCATCCTTGCTGATTTCTTTCGGAATGAATGTCATTTCACAGTACAAAATGGTGTTAGAATTACACAACACAGCCAAAGTAAGTGTAAAATCACTATGTTGTTAACTAATTTCCTATTTAAGGACCCCAAGCTCCGTCGCATCTACAAGTCACGTGAATTAAAAATAAGCTTCATCCACCCAGATGGATTCAATTTCAGCATTTTGGCATTAACACTGCCAAATATAATAAACAATGGATAAATGAGTACTAAGAATTAACAATAAATAACGATAGAAGAAACATTGCAACTTCAATCAAGCATACGGTTACTAAAGCGGCGTTCCATTCCTATTAGTGGATTAGTAAACGTGAAAGAAAAGGAAGAACGAATTTTCGATTAGACGAGTTACGATAACAAAAAATATTTTGACCGTGTGGATTATGTAGCTATAGCTTTGGCAAGGGCAGCATTTAAGGGTGAGAGAAGTCATTAGAATCCTAGAGGATATACCATTTTCAATTAAAAGCGTACGTTTAGCAAAACAAATCGGAAGTTTTGCAAAACAAACCGGACGTGTTGCGAAGCAAATTGGACGTTTCCCAATATTAATTTTACACATTATTCTTGTCAGAAAAGCATGAAATTTTTAGCAAGAAATCAGGAGTATGGCGATTGGGCAATGTTTAGGGCACATTTTGATTACGAGAATGCAACCGAACTGTGCAAGCAGAGGGCGACTGTGTGAGCCCCTCTCTTGATCAGTAGTGTCGCCTCGATCAAAGTTTTCCCCTGTCCCTATAGTGGCCTCCTCGTATTTTGTGTGGGCATGTGGCCGTACGTACGCACCTAAACTATGCAACCAACGCGTTGCGCTGCATCCATTGAACGCGCGTTCAAGTACTTTTCACGCTTGTTCTACTTTACCGGCGATTGGGCCACTCTCTACTATGGCAGTGTCAGTCACAGTACATTCCATGGACAATTTTGTGCAGCTGTGGCCGTGGTTGAGAGAGAATGGGATCCACTTATCCGTGTCTACGATCTTCAATGCTCTGAGGGTAACGCCCAAGAATTGCCAATACCAGCTGGACAGTGTGAAAATTTTCACGACAATCGCAAGTCCGCGTGACTGCGCTCTCTACTTCTCGGTAAACGACCTACTCATGCTTGCTAACCCTGCCAGTTTGGATAGAAAATCGCGCGCTGTAAAATAACTAAAGTGCAATGACTAGAAAGCAATTGTTTAAGTTATAGAGGCGGTCATTTGATGATCAGCTGCCCGGATACCGCCTTTGTCAAGTTCAACCTCATATTGAGGACGCCGTTACTGCACTTCGGCGGGGTAACCATACCAACGCTGTCTTGTATGACCGTTCTTAGCGACTGCTCAGGTCTCGGGTTCATCAGCAGGCGTCTGGCCGAAGCTTTCCCCTTCGAAAACACATGCTGCACAGGGTTCAGCATGTACGCGTAGGGCGACAGCAACTTCAGCTGATAAGTTGAGCCCAGGATCCTCCGTAGTTCATCTGACATGCGAATGCGTACGTTGTCCATGATAAACCATGCACCCTACATCTCACTCTGCCGCGTAGCCACGCCGCAAATGCCTCCATGAAAATAAAGAACTTAGTATCACTGCAGTTGCCATCGCTAATCATTTTGCAATGGATGATAGCTTGGTTATTAAATTCCACAATCAGCGTCACCCTGTTGCATCTGACTGTGGGCAAGAGAACGTTCGCGTGCATCTCTCTGCTTCAGTGAGCCTGCGTCCACCGCAGACGGAGATTGAACGAATCCAGATCGTAGACGTGCCGGCTTGCCATGGTCGTAGCACTGTTGACACCGTCTAAATCATGTGGCACTTATTCAATTACTCTTTAATATTCTGAGTAGCTTGAAGATTGTAGACACGGACAGATGAATACCGTTCTCCCTCAGCCGCTGCTGCAACTGCGCCAAAGCATCTAGCGAATGCCGTTCAGTGGTCTATTCAAAGCGCTGCGTGACATCGGGAGTTCGCTTCTCCTTGTTGTCGCTTCCACATTTGTACTGAGTAATGATGCTCTCTTGCATGCAGGCATTGATGATAAAAATTCAATTTTTGCACTTCTTGATCTCGTCGAATTCACTAGCCTCGTGAGTGGTCTTGCTGTCAACGAAAACAAGCTTGGTGAGAATATCGTTCTGTACCAATGACGTTCGTTTGTACGTTCGCCGCCTCAGAGCTGCACTCTCTCATCTTCCGTTGCTTATATTGGTCATTTCATGCAGCATAAGGCATTGGTTGCAGTAGTCGTTTAGGTGCGTACGTACGGCCACACGCCCACACAAAATACGAGGAGGCCACTATAGGGACAGGGGAAAACTTTGATCGAGGAGACACTACTGATCAAGAGAGGGGCTCACACAATCGCTCACTGCTTGCACAGTTCGGTTGCATTCTCGTAACCAAAATGTGCTCTAAACATCGCCCAATCGCCATACTCCTGATTTCTTGCTAAAAATTTTATGCTTTTCTGACAAGAATAATGTGTAAAATTAATATTGGGAAACGTCCAATTTGCTTCGCAACACGGCCGGTTTGTTTTGCAAAGCTTCCGATTTGTTTTGCAAAACCTCCAAATTAGTTTGCAAACCTTCTGATATAAAGTGAAAATGGTATAATTTGATGCATGCATCAAAATGCTTGTTATCAATATAATCATTGAGTGCTTCCTTTATTTAATCAGAGCAGCGATAAGTAAATTTTAACGAACGGACAATAGGGACATAATTCTTTTGAAGCAGTTTTGGGGAAATAACGGAGGAACAGTATAATCAAGCGGGAGATATTTGCAATTAATCACAAAGGAATGAATTTGAGCGTGGATGATTAACAGAGATCTTTCTTACTTTTAAAAGTTTCAGAATTATGTGTAGACCAATATAAATTGTTATATAGGAAAACCACGAGATATGATTTCAAAATTTATTTCGGTCATCCACAATCATTGGGTGGGACATATGTACAATTGGCTATAACTATGTAGCCACTGCTAGTATCTATCCATCTATTTGCATACCCACAAGTCGTTTCAATTGATTCCAATCGTTTAACCTCTACATTTAAACTTTATTACCATTGCCTTTTATAGATTTGCATGCTGTTACTCAGCAAAAAGTCAATAAATTCAAATGGTATTCTGAGGACATTTATAGGAAATAGATCCAAAATAATTTTTGATGTTTTCAAGTCTTCTAATGTGTACCTAGCAAAACTTTGACACTAGCTCGCGCAAATCAACTGACATAATACTGCTACCCAAGTGTATCTGCTATCCATCCCACTGGGTCAACGAAGTTCAACACTGGTTTTCTTAGTGCGATTCGCAAATTATACTTTTAAACCTTTTCTTTCGATACTACTTATTAACTCGTTGACAGATATCGTTGCATTTTACTGAAAATATCTGCTGATCGAGCTAGTGTCCTCAAGTAAATTGAAGATTCTATGCTACTAATCTTAAAATTCCAAAACTTGGTAAGCTTTTAATATAAAAATATTTAGTTCCAATATTGTTTGCAAGTGTTTGTAGACTCATTAATAGTGGTACAGTTTCATTTCAAATGAAATTACAAAATATCAAAGACGCTTATTGGCTAAAGCGCAGGAGACTCATGTTATCAGATAGGCTGTTAGGTAATCCATTCGTCTCAATAATATAAACAGGCAGGTAATGTGCAAATAATAATGACTTCAAGTGCTTCCATTTATTTAATATGTTTACTACGTCTTGTTAACTTATAATCACATTCCAGTTTTCTTCTTAATTGTCAGACGAATTAGTAAGACATTCGATTTGGGATAGCAGAAAAAGTTACACAGTGAGGACAATCGATTAGCGCATGATTGGACTATTATACATTTCCATGCGCTTCAAATCAAATTAATATTTGCTTCGAGGATTTGATAAATTGCGAGTACAGTCTAACCTGCCATTGCAACCACCTGTTTCTGACGACCACTTGTATGTGGCGACCAGCCAAATCTCCCTAAAGTATTCTCCTATGAGTAAATTCCCTATGCATGAATCTGCCAATGATAATCACATGTCTAATTTGACCACTTTTTTCGGTTCCTTGAGTAGTCGCCTTACACAGGTTTGACTGTACCTACATCCGCTCAATGAGATGACTTATTTGCATCATCCAGTGTCGTGCTAACTTCTTATGTCCCACAATGATCAACTCAGTGACGACCCCCCACAATGTGGCATTTACCGTCTCGAAATACATCTTCATTCGCGAATCTGTATTTTAAGAGTGGTGGCTTAGGCTAAAATCTTGATGAATCTATCACATGATGTCAAATAATTGATGGACCGTTCGTGGTGTGTGCTTTTTGTGAAAGGGCAACACTTAAGATTCGCTTACCAAATCCGGTAAAGACTGAATATTTGTTGTATCATCTCTCTAAATTTACATATTAATTGCTAGGTTTCTACAGGACTTGGAAAAGCGCTGGATTTCCCAAATGCCCATTTTAAGCGAGGTATGCGACTTGATTGTGAAGCATGCCGGTGGCGTGACATTCGAACCTTACGTTACATACCTGCGGAATCAAGCTTACCAAATGGCGACTTTAAGAAAACTATGGTAAGTTGTAGCTATTGTCCATATTCCGTCCAACTATTTAGCAACCAATAAAATGTACCAAGTTCACGCTTTCAACCACACTAAATGTATGTAACATGTTTTAACAGCTAAGAGTAAAGGTTTCGTAACTATGTTTAATCTTTGACAATTAACCGGCGTGTCAGCTCCTTGATACCTGAACATAAGAGGCTTTGCGTCCATCTCTAACCGTAAGTGGGATAATAATTTTTACCTCAAATTTCGCAATGGGTCAACTACGAAAACCGTACAGATAAAGGACTATCCAATGCATTCCAGCACAGAAAACTAATTCTCAAGCACAATGAATCTTAGACATGCACCTGAGGTTTAGAATGGGGTAGGCGGTATCTGCTGCAATCTAGTATAATTATTCCCATTGAAGCTGACCTAATAAATTAGCAGAAATACATGTGTCTAAGGTTTCACTTGATGCAGCGTGAATGATGCACAGAACTGCTTATATTAACTATGCCTTGTGATTCACTGGAAAATATAAGGGCAAAATGAATATGTGTACAATAAGCACACGCCTTTGACTCGTGGTTCCAAATGTACCACCTGTTGGATTGCTAGGGTTTTGGTTTTGTATGTTTACTGTTATACTGCTTTTAAAAACACTTTTCTCGGTTGAAGAAAGTTAAACATTGATGGAGCAGTTAAGTACGACTGTGGCAAAACTAATTCATCTGCCTATTTTAATCGGATAACATTAGTATGGAAGGAGACAAATTATCACCATTTATGTGCACATCTTTTCCATTACATATCTAATTAAACCGTGCTTTAGTTCACATTCTACCATATTCAAGTGTTGGGTAGTTTGAAGCGAGCACCATGTTTCATAGGCGTGTAAATAAAGCCGCAGCAACACTGTTCCATGTACGAATGATTTTGCATATTTCCACTTCAAAGCAAAATTCCCCTACATGGCTTGTGTACATAAAACGACGGAAATTCGTCCTCACATCAGGTAATTAAGTCTTATGTATGCCCAACTAAAGTTAATTATTTTAATTTCTCAGTGACGGATAAGCGGCAGGTATCTATGGATGTCAACCGATAAATTTAGTTAACGTTTGTGATCGGTCCCTGCAGCCCTATCATTAATATTCTGTTCTAAAAGATAGTTTTCTGGTATGCAGAATTAAATGATATACATTCTGGCACCATTTTTTCCAAATCGCATTTTTTCTCTTACGACCAAACTTGTCGTGCATGGTGACTATTTTCAAGAACCGTGCAGATAACGATGCAAAATTTCAGGGGTCAATCACGTTGTGATGTTTCCTTCACAGTATTCTTTCAGGTCTTTAGAGACAATTCATCACGGTCCACTCACAGTAACCAGGCTCTGGTTAGTCTGTAAAAGCAACCGACACCGGTGTTTCGGTCTTCTGTGTCTCGTCAGTGGTGCGCCTTCTAGTGGACCTCTGCCGGTTTCCGCCACCACGACTTCCTGATACCAGTAGCAAGTGCCACTTTGCCATGGGTGACAGTCGTGGACCTGCAAGAATAACAGTTAACTGTGATGTATTTAAAGTCTCCAAGTTAAGAATCGCGTCTCGTTATAGATAATCAAAACCCATTACGGAATGTTGGGTTTGAATCTTATGCTTACAGGAGATAGTTGGTAAATATAATTGAACAAGGTGCTTTTCCGAAATTAAACTAAACTGACCTCAGCCGGCCCATCAAGGTGTTAAGAAGGCGGTACATTGCTAAAGTGGAAAACTGGATAAGGAAACCAAATAAAAAATCTTACTCAACACAAAACATAACTGTTATTTTAGTGTAGTTTCTTCTATTTATTGACTGCACTCATTTTTACCATGTGTTATAGTGGGATAGCAGTACTGGTGTTTTCTCACCTCAAGACAATATTGGCTCAAGAGCTACCCAGTAGAACACCGCGTACTCTCCGTGCAGCGCCATTTACTTATGACAAGACAAAGAACTTAAAATTGTCGAAAAGAACCTAAATAGAGCGTCCTATAGGTTCGATAACAATATTCAACTTATTTGCTGATTCAAAAGCACTAAACATTAACAACATTTCTGTGAAATGGCTGTTGGTAAGCAGTCTTTGTCAAAGGCGTACTTTACAGGATTTGAATTATATTCATTTTAGAAAACCGTTACTCTCACAGGACATGATAGCCTTGCTATCACAGAACATTATTTAGAAAACCGGAAAGCCTGCTGTTTTCCATCCATTCGGTGTGCAATGGATGAAGGTCTCAAGCTCCATCGTGTCAAGCCCTCTCATTAAACTGGCGCTACATAAAACACATCGGACTGGAGTTGTGTTTTATCTCCACCGCACAATAAGAATAGATTAGGTGTTCATATCTACTCACGTTACTTTGTATGAGACACTAATAATTTTAACGATTCTCCCGGCTTGACACATGCACGTCAATTTCTTACTATTTCTCATTTCGCTGGCAAATTTCAGTCAGGGATGTACACAGTTGAATTTGTATATTAAGCTGGTGCCATCGACGAAATTGGCGCCGACAACGGAATTGCCATCCATATATCAAAAGTACGGATCAAGTAGGGAAATAATTTTGCAAAGGCACCAATCCTCAAGTTTTGAGATGAAGATAGCAGTCAGGAACCGGCCTAGAAAGTAGTCTATTACAACACGCCATTTATGTCCATATTAAACCCCATCAACCAAGATCTATACCTAATGTTTTATTTTTGGATTACTTTTCTTCGACTTTGCACCGTATATCAAAGTTCCAATTTCTATCAGTGAGAAATCAAAAATGAATTTCAAAGATTTTGGCACGGGTACATTCGTGAATAATTATACTTATCAAAGGATAACCACACTCTATCATTATAGTTTAAAATCGAAAGTGTCTGTCAAGTTGCTACTCTAACTTTCTTTAAGTACCGACTTAATTATTTTGTAATTTGTGTGTCCGCAGAATAGCAATTGGTGGAAAATATGTCGACTATTATTTACATCAGACTGTTTGCTTACCACAATGGAAGTTCGCATATTCGCGGGGGATATAAACCAAATGGAACTTGGCATGTGAATAGTAAAAGGTCTGCTTGTCTCGTCTTACGCATTTTCTCCAGAATGTTGATGACCAACGTTTCTGCTTTCATGGTTGTATATTTCTGGAAGGTATCTTGCAGATATCCGTCCTTTTCTAATTAAAATATTCCAAAGTCCTGAAATGTGATCAAATGGTTCATCAGCCCCAATCGGATATTTTATCTAGCTGGGAAAATACCAGTTGTGGATTTGACGATAAGTGGTTGAATGCAACTAAGCGTATTTCCCATAATATTCCAGAATTTTTGGACTTGGATTCTCGATACTGCTGGGACAGTTGCACTAACTTTTCCTTAATTGTGTAGCTTGTAAGTTTTAAATAGAGACGAAAATTCATAGCTCAGGTTGTTCTGCTGACAGTTGAACTGCTCGTTCAACCTGGTACTGTTGCGCGCACGTTTCGTCAACAATCGAGGTGACTTAACCATTGATACACTACTCAACAACACATTGATGATGTTACTTTGATTGATGACGAAACGTCTACAACAAAATTGTCACGCCCAGTGGACAGTTCGACTGCCACCTAGATTATAACTGGAGATGGTGTCGTTACCATCAGCAACCGCATAAACATTTCAAATTCGCTGACCTGGGCAACAACTTTGCATAGTCAAAAAATGTATTTATGTGACGCCATGACCATATCTGCTATTTGATATTTTGGATGTCTTTAACATACACCTGAACTAAGTATCGGTTTCATCTCCACAGTATATTCTAAAGAACCTTGTTATATGTGTAATCTTCCAGAGTAAGTGTTGGGTAAATCGGATAGCATCGCGGAGCAATTTTTGAGTTATCGTAATCTTAGTGCCTGCGAATGCGTTACGTGAATAACACAAATCCCTATAAGCCGAATCGGATCCTTTAGTGCATAACTGTTTCGACTCCATTTTATTCACTACATTACCTCTAATATATCATACGTTATGGTACATGATGCGCTTGCAATCAGACAGTGATACATGTTGAATACTCTTGCCTGTCGGATCAAAAGCAATACCAATATATAATTAAATATAGGGATCAAGAATGAAGATAAAACAATGAGAAGTTATCTATCAACCAGGTGATCTTCAGCCATCACAATAAGGTAGACGTCTTATCAGATATTGAAAATGGTGTAAAAAAGTGTAAATTATTTCTGGAAGATCTGGTGGAATGTTAAACACGGAGATTAAAATTTAGTGTAATTTGTTTATGTTGAAGTTAACAACATGTTTGACGAAAACAGTGCTTATGTTTGTATTCGTAAGTAGTTATCATGAAGTCATCGGAGGTCAAAGGAAACTCGGGAATATATAAGATCCACTGTGTTATCGAACTGGACGTCAATCACTAAAAAGCAGACGTAGTTTGTGGTCACGACTGTTCAATGAATTTCGTTCATCATGCTATTTACCGGAGCTAGGATTTCGCTAAACCTTTCTATCACCACATTAAAATAGGGGTTTAAGAGATAATTCTTAATAAACGTACGATAGCAGTACATCACATTGGTATCGCCAATTTTCTGCACAATATCTGTTCAGTGTCCGCAAAGTCCGTAAGGGTGTTTTCACAGCTGTCAAGCAGCACGTGGTTCTGGTCTTGCGCCTTTAAAAGCATATCAACTGTTATCTAGGTTTAATATTAGGAAAATCTTCCTGGAATGGGGTGCGAAAATAAGGGTGTTCTACTTAACAACTAATAAATTAAATGGTTAAAAGTTAATGTTAGTCAAGTGGCGAGTGGATTATCCCACAAATAGCTAATGCAAGATTCAACCTACTTTTTCCGCATTTGTGTTAGTTTCATTTCCCGTGTATAAGTGACTTGTAATTTGCATCAATCTGCAAGATTAGCAAGCTTGATTCGACCATGCCAACCAAATTTGGCAAATGCTCACCTTAGTTTCCATTGCATTTCTTAGTCAGCGTGAAAGCTTCCGAGACGCCTTGGATGCACTGCACTCAAACCCAATCAGTGGAAAGCATTCCATTAATTCCTTCCTAGCGCTGCCAATGCAACGGCTTACAAGACTCAAGCTTCTGGTGGAAGTAATCCGAAGACTTCAGGACACAATAGTTGAGGACGCAGCCAAGGCAGATTTTGCCAAACGACCGTTAAAAGTGCCCACAGACCGCCAGCGAGAAAATGTTCAGTTAGCACTCGGCGAACTCTGTCGTGTAAGTATTGGACATGTTAATTAAAGTGCTACATTACTGAAATATGTTTATTAGTTACATTAAAACGTTTTTGCTATGGTTACTGATTACACAACTTACGCCTGGATGCATTACTGCGTAGTATGATCCCAGATCATAAGCTACATTTTCTGTAGAGGATCTTTTTAGACTGTTATCATGCTGACGTCTTTTGGAAACAGGTGGAAGATTTCTACATACTGACTCACTTAAATGTTTTTTTGTGATTATATAGTAAATTAATACATGTGCTATAACTATCAGCCACATACAGTGTATAAGCACTCTTCTTAATATGTATCTGAAGTAAACGTTTTGATATTCTGCCTCCTAGCTGAAAATAGTGACGCATTAGCATTATGTAGCACTGGGATTAATAACTGCAAATCGTCAAGGTAATCCGGGTACACCTGTTGTCGTTTCAGATGTTTAGCAGGTGAAATCCAGTACGCACGTGATCATACCACAGAGATTTGTAGACTCCACATAAGTGTAAGTCCTAGGCATTCTCAAGGAATTAGCTCAATTATGTACACTTTCCATTTCACTGGAAGCAGTTATACGTTAATTATGAAAATATTTATTGATAATTGTTCAGTCATCGTCCATCTTGCTGTCATTTCAATTTACCCACAAAATAGGAATTCGTCACATCTAGACTCACTCAGACAGCCACCACACGCCCGGAAAAGCCCTGTACGAGCGTTTCATCCTTTCGGGAATGTCAGCTTGGTGAGGAGGCTACCCTGTCCTCTGCACGATGGTAACGTGCAAGTCAGTGGATAGTGAGAGGCGCTATAACACATCTAGTAACTTATTCAAGATGGTCGTTGCCGTCCCCCGTAGCTCAGTGTTCTCAAACACGGACTGGCAACAGTCGAGTTGCGGGTTCGAGCCCTACTAGGGTCCGATGGAATGCACACTGCTGACGATTCCCGAAACGATGAAACGCGCGTACAGTGGTTTTCCGGGCTTGTGATCGATGTCTGAGTGAGTCTAGATGTGATGAAATTCTACCTAAACAATTCAACTCCCCCTACTACTTATCTGTGAAATAGGAATTGACAAGTGGTTATTAGGTGAACTTGCAAGTGTACTTTTAATTATACCGATTTATCGAAGTAGTAAGGCGTACCCAAGGAAACACCGTATTATAAACGTAAAAAAGTAACTTTCCAGCTTAGAACACTGTGAAGACTTGTTTTATGTTGCACTTCTCCTTCACGAATTTGTTATCAACCATTGTAACCGAAACGAAAGAAAGCTGGAAATTTATCTGTGTAAACCGATCTTCCATCTCTGGATGCAAACCGCTTTATTGTTGTAATACCAACCAGTATTCGGATTTTCCCTAACACGCACCCCAGTCTTGATTCCGCGGCAAGTGAAGACTAACATTCTTTAGCGAATCGTTACCCATTTATATGGTTAACAAAACACCACAAATGACTGGACTGCCAACTAGTAGGCTTTTTCTGTATATTTCAGAATGTCCCCGATTATTATTTTAAAAGTGTTTATATTCCCAAGGCCAGACTCAGAAACCTTAAACTGCTTTCAAGTATTTTTAAATGTCTAAGGATCATGAGGGTAATGATGACCAAAGTCTAACAAAAGAAACCAATCGACGTATCCTGAGCCAGTCGATAAATTCGGGCAGATTTCGTGGAAGTGAATGTTCTCTGGAAGCCAAATAATATTGGTCTAAACAACCCGCCAGAGACCAAACTGAATTGTTGTCAGAATTTTTAACAGTTCAGGACAACTGGTATTCACGCGTTCTAACTCGATAGGCAGAATTGTCGACAACTATTGCTGCAGTAAATAGTTCAATACCGCACCGAGCACAAATATGGACAATAACTTCAGAAGTAGGAAGCACCGCGGTAGCTCTAACTTGTTATCGAAATTTGATACTTTCTGCTTATCAGCAAATGTGAACAAACGCATACAGATCTAGTGGTAGAGAAAAATACCACTCACACTTCATAATTTATATATCTGTTCAGTTAAAAATTTACCAACAGACAAACACACATAAATTTACATTTATGTGTGGTCGGGTGACGGTTACGGCATGCTTCTATATATATACCTCTTGTGCCATCAAGATAAATAATACCTACTTTGTGCAACTGCGATTAATAAATACTACCAAAATTCACGTGGTCCCATCAGGGCTTAGCAGTCACAAGTGATCATGGTCGTTGGCACGTACTCTTTCAAGCATTTCCAATTATACGTGGAATATGAATAAGCAGTATATCCACACATTTCATCGCTGACTTATCCGTATATTGCGAGACACCCACGTGAATGAATGCGAATGAATTGTCCCTTGGGAATAATGACATGAAGTCACTCACAAATACCGTTCTCGATGTTCGGCTGGCACGGAAGGTGGGCTAGTGACACTGGCAGGACGTGGAGAGCATGTGGACCGCGGTGTGTTTCGGCGTGCCGCATGCTCACTGATCGCAATGTTGAAAGGTCCGCGTTCGATAGATGCGGCGATTCGAATCAGCACGAGTCCGCGCGCTGTGTATATTGGCATCCGCACCGAGGTTTCACTCGTCTATTGCATTTGTTATGCAATTGTTCCACTGGGCTTGCTCCTGGGGAATATTTCATATCGTTGCGTCACGGTTCCCATTGCCGTTGCTAAGACGTGTAATTGCCTGAGTCCTTCCTCCAATCGTTCTCACACATAATATGTATTGTTGCGAAACAGACCGAATGTGGTGTTTCACTAGGGGCGACACAAACAAACAGGAAAAAGAATACCCCAACACTCGGGGCGTTTAAACCATTCTGCCAGTTTCAAGGAATGATCTCAGTTAGGTGTTATTGTTTAACTGCAGTAACTAGCGGCGCACATGATTTGGTTAACTCAGAACAATGTAATCATTAGCAGATTGTCAGCCAATCAGCAATACCCGTGTTTCCGTCTATTTTCATATGGCAAAGTACGCGTTCCAATGACGCACTTGGAAACCCGACGTTGTCTGCTCCAGATCAGTGATATCATGCTTCAGTTTTGGTTGCCTTGCTTGAATTTTTGAGCAACGTTGTGTTTCCCAGCTTGTAAAGTCCTTTCGTTTTCTCAGAACAACCGGTCATCACGAAGCCGGGAAGTAGATTACGATCGACCATAGAGAACTGTAGGGTCTTCGTTTCGAATCTATAGATGTAGAAACTACGGTATCATATGCAGAGTATCTTACACACTGGTAGTCACCGTACCTACGAGAAATGAATCCTTCAGATACGCAGCTGTCGAAGGAATTGTAAACTTTTTGAGAACTGAGCTTTGTTATCATCAATCAATCAGTATGTTCCGAAATGGAAACTGATTTCGTAAGCGTAGGCAAGTCTCAGGCTGATTTGACACATTACAACAGCGACAAAGCGGAGAAGCAAGTCCCAACGGAACGCGACCGGCTTTATCTTGATGTGGTTGCCTGTGGTCGCACATGAATTGTCCTAGATCCTCAAAGGCTTTATCTGACAAGCCTCAAGCAGATCCCGATGAGACACTGCCATCACGCTCTCTAGTTTGACTACCTCCCCACTGTATTGTGGGTCAAGCTGTTGGGCCAAATGTTCTGGGTGCAGCCACTCAAGGGAACCTCGTTCTAGGTGACCGCGTTGAAGGTCAAACTGTTTTGTTAATGGGTAAGGGTAGGACACGTCAACCAACAACCCACTTCCGGAATGGGCAGCAGGAGAGCATCACCTCCCCTCTCGACCCGGTCGCCAGCACTTCTTCTCCTTTACCCATACCAATCTCTTCCCCGTTTATTGCTCAAGGGACGGTCACTGACCTTGTAATTGAAGCTATCAAACTAAGATTCGCATTTCGCAATGTTTCATTTGACATCTACTCACTTTTTCAGATCGGCCAACAACAGCACTATCTGACCATACACACGCAAGTTATTGGTGTGAGCTGTCTCCAAAACACATATATAAGCTGACCGCATCGTGACGAACCTTCCACTTCCTGGTTCCGAATCCGCTGACAACCATTACACTCTAATCTCCTCTGACGATACGAAGTAAATAGCTCAAGGTTATTACGCTTCCGTATCACCCTCAGCAAACATGCAGAATGCAATCTACTGGATGCAAGTGAACAGCCGTATGTTTGCTCTTCGACCCCGAGACTCTAATGTGGTTTATAACAACCGTCTGGGGAAATCGTGCATTTTTAATTCTTCCTTTTATGCCCCCAGTGACTGAAATTCGGAAGATATGAAGGATCAGTTCCATCGTCACCAGCAACTACTGAGACTGTGATTGTCGCTGGTTACATGGATGTCTTAGTGGGTCGCATTTCGACTATGAACAACACCTGGAAGGCTGTCTTGGGGTGCAGGCACACAGAACAGACAGTGTCGATCGATTCCTACAAATATATGCTGGTATAAATGCGCATATTGGCAGCACTGCTTTCAAGCACTAACGATCACATCGTGTCACATGTGCCCACCGAACTCCTCGATGACGTTGACCCTAATTGACCCTGTTTCTGCAGGCCACACATAACGCACCTCAGTTCAAGACCGTCATTCATTTTGGAATAGGTACCTGCATTTTGACTAGGCTCTACTGTTTCCCAGTTCACTTGCCATTGCAGTGACTCCTATATATGGGGTACCAAATGATTCCATAACCCAGACGTATCTGCGGAACCGTGGCGTGTCGTACACATTGACGACTCTTCGGGAGGTCGTCAGCCTCGTTCGACACACAAAGTCAGCAAAGATTGTCCGCCATGAAGGGAGTGCCACGAAATCTCTTATCTTTGCTAGTGGCTGCCCCTTGGTCCCGCGTTGGCTACATTGAATACCCTAACATCGTAACGAAGGCCGTGTGCGCTCTATACCATTTCCATGTCATTTTAGGCCATACAGGTAACAACTTGAGCTAACCGGATGTCAACTTCATCCGGTACGCTAACAGGTTACTGTTTCCGATGAACTAAGCTGAGCCACGCGACTGTG